ACTCACCAGACATGAGCAGCACTCAACTTTACGCAGATAGGGACCGCTAAATCCCTGCATGAACTTTTGTAATGTAAATGACAGATTGTACCACTGGAAAATGGAAATATTCATATGCATATACGGCAACACACAATGGCAAACGTTACAGATAGCTGCTTCCTTAGATCATGCCTCCTTTCGTGGAAATAGGTGCGTTGTGAGTGAGGCTGTGGCCGCAGAAGCAAGGAAAAATAAAAATACAAGGCAGCTACCCATTTAACATACTGAACAAGGCAGAGTTTGCACAGAAAAAATAATGTTTTAGAGTTCAGGATTAACATGAGACAAAGGGTCTTCATTCAGGTTGCACAGGCAACTTAGGTATTTCTTAGTTTGGACTCCTAAACTCACAGTCTTGCTTTAGCGGTCTCGCTTTAGCATACTGCTTAGCCCCTAAGGCTCAGGCCCCAGAGCTGCTCACTGGCCCCTCTGACCCCGAGTCTTGACAGGCTCCAGACCGGCTCCTAGAGACCCTCGGACAAGAGCCCCTATAAAACCGACAGGTAATAAACTAGAGGGAGGTCTGTGCTTACCCAAGTGTTCTCAGCTTTCTGAAAATAATCTAAAGAACTTTAGACCAGGCTGATGCATCATCTTAAACAAAATATCTAATTCAAATATTTCTCGAAAGTGGATTTCCACTCATAGGAATCGATTTTCTTCGCTAATACATTTACTGTAAAATAGATTTATTCATATGCTAAGTCAACAGGAGAATTACTAAGCAAGAAGTGTGACACAATTATTAAAAGACACTTGGCATTAATTTTTCTATATACAACTAGAAAGCCAACACAGGCACTGGTTTTTATTTGATTTTACAGATTACTCATCATTGTTGTTTTAGAGATAATCACTTTTCCTATAAAAAGATATAAACGAAAAATTAAAATATCAATATGCTTTCCTTGTAGTGTTATGGAATTCTCTGTAATTCCTGTGTCATTCATATTTGACATTCCCATCACTTTCATATGCTCTTAAATAAATACATTCACTGCATAGGGGGAAAAAAAGGCAAACAAACAACATAAATTGTCCTAATCTATTTTTGAAATTCATGCAGACAGCTATGAATTAATTTCCTTATATTTCAGGTATGTGGTACTTGAGGATTTACCTGGCTGGAGAACAGTTTATTAAACTCATTATATGTCATTCTTTAAATGACATTTAAATTCACCTGCATAAACAATTTTAGCAAAGTTTTAACTTCTACTCTATCATAACTTTCACAAAACAACAGCACTGTAGAAGTTGTACGCTATCTTACAGTATTTAAATAAAATAAAAAATGCTCAAAAAGAAATATTAAGTCAGATAATAGCACTACTTTTAGAAAAAGGGCTGTTTAGAAGAAAGATTTATACTGTTTGTCTCTTTAAAGCAGAGTATTTCTTCCATACATCAATTTTTTGGGGGCAGGGGGGAGATATTCCTGAGTCCTTTACACGTAACAGAACAGAGAGAAAATTTTTAGAATTAAAGATTTAACTCAATACTGCAGAGTCTCCTAAAACCAGCAGCAAAACTTAATTTGGCTTGAGTATCTCAGGATCAGGCCCTAGCTGTTTCAGCTCAATGTCACAACGTTTCTTTGTAAAACAGGCAAGCAACAACACTCTCCGGATTACCATAAGCATTCGGAGTGTTATGTCAAACAAAACAAAACAAAACAAAAAACAAAGGTTTACAGACAGAGCGAAGCCACTTAATAAGATGGATTAACCCAATTTTATTTTTCAGCTCTCTGAAAAACAACCTTTTAATATATAATTGTCATCGGCTGACATAACCATGCAGGAAAGGATAACATACTCTGTCTGGCAGGTTTCAAAGATTATCTTAACTAAAGTAAACCTCCCAAACCTCAGCAACAGCAAATCTAATAAACTTCACTAGGACATTTAACTCTTTGTTACGCGTTTGCTTGACTTTATAAAAAGTTTACGTGCTATTTTTTTCAAAATATAATTTCAAAATTCCCAGTAACTTCCTATGCTAATTCCTGTGTTATTAACATCATGCACGCCAACCTGCCCTGCGCCCCCTCACACTGTTAGACTGTAATATGGATTTTTAAATGAATGTAAGTAGCATGGATGTTTCAGCTCCAGAGGAAACAGAATAATCTCTTGAAATAGTTATTTGGTTTGATAGTGGTTTGATATGCAGCTCTGACCATACTTGTTAAGTGTATGCAACTTCTTTGAGCTCTGCCTGTAGTTACGCTATTCACGTGTACGTCCAAGAATACTTTTTACCATGCTCAAGTAGTCAAGTTCTCTGCCAAAAACTGCCCCTTTAACAGACTCAGTTTACAGTTAAATCTGAACACAGCACCAAAGACTGCCTAAAATTACGCAGAAAGCATCACCTATAAAGCTGTTCTCTCATACAATTAAAATGAGTTTTCCACACACAAACATGCTGACAGAGCAGATTTTTATGCCTGCAAGATGAAGCATTTGCACCTTTCAACACCCCTTACCTTGCCTTCTGCACCTCCAGCTGGCTCGTCCACCTCCTCCTCCTGTGCTTTCTGCTCTCCACAAGAAGACCCAAGTACAAGATGAACAAAAGCAGTTTTGCAAAACACGGCATCGCGCAGGAACCAGCAGCTAGACGCGCTGCGCTCCCGTCACCTCCTGCAGCACAAGTCCCCCCCGCTTTGAACATTGAATCAGCTCCGAGTCCGGGGGCGCGGGTCTGCCAGGGATCATGGGCAGAAATGCCGCTTTTCTCACGTAATATTTTAGACGGGGTTTCAAGGGCTCCTCACTCGGAGCCTTCCCTGCTCCTCGCGTGATGATTGGCCATTACCCGCGAAGTTTGCCTCGCCAACCGTTTCCTCGGGCTCCTAAAGGGCATTTGCTAAAGCCATTACATAAAACGGGCCGTTCCGCACGCCAGCTTTCCGCTCAATCCCCTAAGCTCCGGGCAGCGCGATCCTCCCGCCAGGCTCCGTAAAACCGGGCTGTCCCTTCTCATTAGGCTTTCCAGATTTGCCTGCTCATTACCATGGCATCTTTTTCAAGCAGAAAATTCCCTGTGCCATCACATTTAAGATAAGTATATTTTACAATGATATTTATTTTGGTAGTCTTAGGGCAGTTGAGATTTTACTTCCCAGTTCAGTCAGTCTGTGTTTTTTTTTTTTTTTTTAAATGTGGTTGAAGACAAAATATGAGCTATTTCCTCTGAAAAACAATAATTTTATTCACTGTTCATTTTTAAAGGGAAATTAAAACACAGCAATCCTCAAAACATCTACACATGCAATAGACACATCACACGAGCCACAGTCACCACTAATACTCACTTTTTCAGACAGTCTTTACAAAAGTCAGGCCTGTGAACTTTTAAAATACTTTGAGGTAAGAATGAAAAGCTAAAAAGCAGGTGGTGAATTACTGTAGCCTGAACTGTTTAAGAAAAATATTCAGTTTAATGATGCTTGTTCCATTGCACCTGCAACTGGTGAATTACTGTAGCCTGAACTGTTCAAGAATGATGCTTGTTCCATTGCACCTGCAAATGAAAGACTATGAACAATCCTCAAGTACTAAAAATAAATATATACATATATTATATATTCTAAGTTTCGGAACACATCCAGGGTTTCCTTCAGGTGCACCATGGGCTTCATTTGTTTTTAGAAGTTGTTATAGCTACTGTAATGTTTCAAAACAAAGGAATACATGCCATACTTCATAAAACCTAGAGTTGTAGGCAGCTTAATAAATATTTGCTGAGAAACAAGGTAAAAATTGAGTTGGTCACTGCTATCATCTGCAACAGCAGCAGAGTGAAAATTAACTAAACTTCATTAGCTTTTAATTAAGATATTAAAGCACACTGAAATCAGAACAATAATGTAAGAGGAACATTATGCCATTGACTACTTTCTTGTACTTATACTTCAGTACCAAAAAATCACCACCTTTCTGAAGCCCTAACAACTTCAGGTCTCTTGATCGAACATGATTTCACAGCATTCATGAGCAAGTCACCAGTTACTCATTTTTATTAGCTAATAACACAGAAAATCCGAGTCCATTATTGATTTTATATTTAAAAGAAATCACTGAAACAAAACAAACAAAACCACATGTGATATTTGAAGCATAACCAGAGACTGGCTTGAAATAGTTTATTACTGCCAAGGCTTTAATAAATATTTCTCTTAAGCATGTTCATATAGAGAGAGTTTAAGTATGATACAGTTTCAGTTTCCTTTAGTAAATAAGCCCAAATACGAAACATTTAGTTTAATGCACTATGTATATTTATGATATAATTAAAAGACAATAGCTCTGAGTAAATAATTATATTACATATTTATAACTATTGCAAGAATAAAGATGTTTTATATAATCTTCAAATTAAAAAAAAAAGCAAGATATACAATTGACAGTATTAGAAGAGGACATTCAAATCTTTCAATCTTCAAATCAAAGATTATCTAATCGTACTTCCAAAGTCAAAAACAAAATAATTAGTTTTCTGCCCCCTTCTTTGCTCCCCTATTCCTTTTCCCCTTTCACACACAGAAGACAAAATCTTAACCAACTTGTATGCATTTTCCCTCCCGCCCCCCAGAAATGTGTCATGGTAAATAAGAGTAGTTACAAAACATTACTCCCTGTATGTGATGAGCTCACTGAACACAAACACATAATGATGTTTCATTTTAAAAGCCTTTCTCCAATGTTAAATCTTATACTAACAGAGAAGGGGTCATTATTTGTTCCTTAAAAAAAATGCATCAACCACTTTCTTTAAATTGTCTTCTCCTAGTTAATAAATTACTCACAAATTGAGTCCCCTCATATGCCTAAACCTTATCATTCCACTGTATGGTTTCTGCAACTATCTAGAGGGCAGTCGATTAACACTTGTGATAATTAGATGTCCAACTTTTCTTTTTAAACAAGAAATGAACCTGTAGGTAATGACTCAAGTGTAAATACAAAAAGTAATTTTTGTAAACAGTTCTCATATCATATCCAAAACCTTGCTCAACGAAGCGCTCAAGTAAACAGCTCTTGAGACAGAAAAAAACCCTTAAAACTCAAATTTATACTCATTGGCCAAATATATTCTTCGAAATATAAGAGCCGTCAATGCAAGAGTCAGGAGGACGATGAGGACGGTCGATCCCGTGTGGTTCATGTCGACCCGTGGCTGCTGGCCCCGGTTGAAGTCAGCGGAGGAGGGCGGCCTTCTCTGGCTGTGCTGCTGGGCCCGGCGCTGCCGGGGGCTGAGCGAGGCGCCGCTGGTCGCGCTGGGAGGCTGCTCGGGGCCCGGCCTCGCACTGCTGCCCTGAGCCTCGCGCTGCAAAACAACACAGAGCCGCTCGTGAGGCAGGGCAGCGCGGGGGGTGGCAACGCGCGCCTGCGCAAACAACGGGGACCGCGTACGCTCTTCAGGTAGCTTGTGCCGAGGCCTAAGGGTAAATATCTCCCCAATGGTTACAAGATTCTCTTATAGCCATCATTTTTGTCCTTATATCATCTTAAAAAAAAAAAAAAACCTACAAATTAGTTTAAACCTACAAATTAGTAGTTCCAAGGATAAGAAAACTATTCCGGGGGAAACACCGATGAGTTTGTTAAACAGTGTTTGAATTCTAAGTTAGTTGAAATATTCTGTTTGAAACCCTCTTTGCCTACGATTTGCTTAACCCCTTTAAGCTTGATAAAAGCTTCACTAACCCTTCAGACAGTTAAGTCCCTGAGGATTTGAAGTGTCACTTGTATCAAAGGCAAAATAAGAGGAAAGAGAGCAAGAAAGGAAAGATCCAAAGAGTTTTAATTTGGCAGTGTTCGCTGCTAACTGTGGCTAGGTAAGTCCAATTTTCTGTTCTCATTACCATGAGACACTAAAAAAAAAAAAAACCACCAATGAACAACACTGAAAAAAAGCCCTAAGCACTCCCGAATGGTTCCAAACCGAATTACCGAGCACAGTACCTATCCACGCACACACCTACTGCCCTCTGCTGGTCAACAGCTGGTCTACCACTATGTGTAGTAAAAGTACATATGTGTGCTGGCAACTGATGTTCATCTCAGGAGAATAAAGAAAATCAATCTTTCAGTTTCTAACGCTGTAGCTATGGGTTCTTAGAGTCCATTGGCCTAATCCTGCAGTATTGAAAGTTTCCAACATTGTAGCATTAAGCACTATGACACAGCCCAGTTGCTCAAGATAAGCAGGTTCAATTTTAAAGTGTTCAAGGGAAAAAAGCAGCTCTTGCAAAAACTAACATTGCTTTTATAAAGTTTTGTCTTCTCAGAATAGAGAAACCCTGTTGTGAATGAGACAAGGTGCTAGACACAGGCATGAGCTGAGCTGTAATTCCACACACACCTCGCTGACAATTGCAATGCTATAAATTAGCTTTAGGGGGAAAAGATACAGATGGATCAGTGTAGCAGAGGACAGACAGCTCCATCCAAAGCCAAATTAATCCACTCACCTGGGACTCTCTACATATCAACATCCACCAAATATTAAGAGGACATGTAGGAGCAGGCTGGATCAGAAAAGAAGTTATCATTCCGGATACAAAACTTTGGGATCAGATGCTAGTGTGTGTTCAATAATTTATACATGCTTGTATATTACACATCTTTTGCTTTAAAACTTAATTGACTTGGGGGCAGAGCATGCTGAAAACAGAATTAAATAAGGTCAAAACATTGTGACCTCCTTTATTCTTTCATCTTTCCACTCTGTGACACTTCACGGTGTGTGTCCTATTATTTCTGAAGATTTTGAAATTTGCTCGCAGCAGCAGAAAAGGCTTTGCTCCAAGGACAGCCAAGCTTGGCCAGTATGGCTAGTTTGGTAAAATGTACATATGTGAGACTTACTGAAGGTTTCTGACATGTAGCCTCATGTATCAGAACAGGTCTCAATTTTCTCGCTGGAAACTCCCTCTCAGCAATTCCAGGTGTGCTGATTTCAGCTCAGTTCACTTAATCTGTCTGCACAGTAGTACCGGATGCTACTGCAATATCCTAATTAATAACAGGTGTGCCAAGACCTAACACATTGTCAAAGAGTCAAAACAAAGGAGTTCTCGCAACAGTTTCGAGGTTTCTCCTTCTCGCTCTCGCCCAGCAGCAGCCGTGTTTATGGACCCCATGCAGCACGGCGAGACGCCGCTGCCTTCAGGCCGGGCTGCACGAGGGGCCCTGCCGGAGCCTGCCTGGGGCTCGGGGGCTGCCGTGAGCCTGGGAGAAGCTCGGACTGCCAGTTTGGCCCATGGGGATTTAGGCACTACGATTGGCAGGACAGGATGAGCCTTTACTTCTAGCAGCTTAGCTTCCAGCAGCACTTCCCTTGAAGTCTGTGTACTGAAGCACAGATGACCCATTACCTTGCCCTGGGCAGACCTCAACACCACCAGGGTCGGTTCACACTAGCGTAGCACTGCTCTTAGTGTTACCATTACCATTACTAAAACAGAACTTGCCACAGCAAATTAAGTTTCAAAATCTATTAAAAAAAAAAAAGTTGAACAGTGAACTATCATTAGCATGAGTTTCTGTGCTTCTTTAGAAAGTGAGGTCTATATTCCTTTTTTCCTAAGGGAAAGCTCACAAAAGGGAACATTAATTTAAAATATTTCTCTCTTGATGGAATGAGAAAGTTCCTGCCTGCATGGAGCAGAGAGGTGGCACTCAAAGTTGTGCAAACCTATCTGTTTTAGTGTGTTCTTTCACACAGAAATTTAGTTAAATGCTTCCCTGACGGGTTTCTCACTGTATTCATAATTGTCTGTCACTAACTCACTGGAGAAAAAAAAAAACCTTTAAATGGCCTACAGTTTACTATGGTTCTTGAAAAAAACATATCCATACCTTTCCATATCTCAAGCCATATCTTTATCCATAAAGTAGTAGTCTGTAGAAAGGGGTTTTTTCCCCCCTAAAGTAAAGGGTAGTCTAAACATTCTCACCTCTTCACCTACAATAAAGACCTCTCTTTAGCATCTATTTATCATTACATTTTTAATGAAGACTGGCTACAACTCATCCAAAGGCAAGAAGAGAGGCAACACTCCTCTGCGTAGGCAACACTCCATTCCTTTTGCACCACTACTGCTCTCATTCCATCATGGAGCAGGACAGAAAAGTCCTTTGACTTGTGCATTACACGCATTAAATCTACTATCCCAGAATGAACTACACAAGCCAATATAGGAATTCAACATCAGCAGTCGGGCAGCTTTGTCCTTTTTACTCTCCAAGTGCTGTGAATTTCAGGTTCACAATAGCAGATTTTAAATAAAAAACTAACTAAATATTAGCTTCTACTGTAAGCGGTAAACATTTTACCCTCAGTTCAGAAACACAGGTATTTTTTTTTGAACTCAAAACAACAATAGCGACAGAGGGTGACATTCTGATCCCATAAAACACTAATCCACTTTTTATAGTTAAGGTCTATCATACATAAAAATGTTTATGGAATTTATATAATGATTAAAGCTTTCATTTTATTTGGGCCCACTCTTCTAAAAATCCAATTAACCATCACTTACAAAATCAGTATAAAGTCTCCCTTTTCCCACAACAAAATGCTAGCAGTGCCTTGGTACTTTGGTCAGCTCTACTATATTAGCTAGGATTTGTAATGAGAAGAATAGAATAAAAGGGTTTATTAAATCCTTAAAAAAAAAAATCAGGAAAAATCCTTACTGTGAAAAAGAAGTATAATATTAGCGTATTTCTACATAGCTTGAAAATATGTTGCAAACATGCAACAGATGGTGTGACGTTATTTGACGTGTTTTAGGTTTTTTTAACCAATCTGCAGCCCCATCCTCTCTATAAAACACAGCTTATCTGGGATTTGTCTGCAATTTATCAGTGAATTTAGATTGCATTTGCAGTCATAACAGCAGCTGCCTTGGCCCAGTACCAGGCCTTGGTCACTTCCGAAATGATTATGTAAGCCCTATACCTAGCAGAATTAAAATGCAAATGTCACGTCATTTACTTCAAATGGTAAGAATATTTTAGGCAAATTTATTTAAGGGGTTATGCAAACAGAAAAATATCCTTTATCAATATTTAAATGCAACAAATTACCACTGACACATTTTTTTGCTTGTGGCTAATAATTCTACTGCAAGAACACTACATAGATAGTAAGTTGTAGTACTCAAACACCCAAATACTTTTATGAATTTGAACCAATACATTAAAAGAATTACTGGGAATAGGAGCTACTACAAGAAAGTTACTTGAAGCCTGTTATGAAGCAACAGAAGTGAAAGTGAAGAGATCACTTTCTAGAAAACATGCCATTTGCCAAAGCTGGCATGATAAGATTGTTGTATGAAATTATGCATGAATATTCGAAGAAATGTCTGGACTGCATACTCTGAATGTAGCTTCCCATCAGCCTAACAGTGCACATTTCCCATTCAGATCATGGATGCGTTTGCCTCGGACAAAACTCAGACACAAGCCCTACCGTTGTACTTGATGGATCCTGGAATGCTCTGGCTACCCCATCCTGCTGGGGCTCCGGTAGCGCGGCAGAGAGGTTCAGTCCTGCTGTGCTCGAAGGGCCAGCATCAGGCTTCCTGGAGGAATTGACTTCTGCCTGCAAGAGGGACACACATGCAAGTCAGAGATGAGATCAGAATCTTTCCAGAAAGATTTGGCCTGTTTTTGAACGCCCACGTTAACGAATACAAGAGACTTACTGAAATGTAAGCGTGAAATAGCTCAACTGCACACCAACAGTGTGCAGAAGTGAAAAGTAAGACTATAGATGGACAAGTATCGGTTCACAAATGCCAGATCTGATTTGGACCTTTTTAGTTCTGTTTGTTTGCGTATAATTATGGGTGTAACAGCCCCAATACACTGGAGGAAAAAAAAAATCCAGGAAAAAATGATGCCAGAGGAAGCAGTGTGTTTCTTTGGGATTCTTAAGTAAGAATTAGACTACTTCTCAGCTGTTTCTCAACAGGGCTAACTGGCCTCAGGGAAATGCTAACGTGTTAATGTGGATGTAGCAGCTCTCGTGCTGAAGCCTCCTCCCAGGCAGCCACTGCCCTGCGTTGCACAGGCCTAGGCCTGTCTCACTTCTCAGCATTTATACTGCAGCACAAACACAAAAAAAGGAAAAAAAAATACCGCTTTTACATGTCTTAATAAAACGTCTAACAAGCACCACTGCCCAATATTAATGCCTCAAACTTTCAAAATCTGAAGCGTTGACAGATCAGCAGCGGTATGCAGAGGATCAGGAATGCACCCAACGCTAAAATAACATTTAGGCTAACAATGATGCCTCACAAATAGAAAAAGACACAGCATAATAGTCCTGAACTGAAAGACATTACACGGATCAAAAACACAATAAAAACACCAGAGGACCAAATTAATTTTATCAGCAAACCATGTGTCTCTATCTCCCCTGCCAGCCTGTAGTGTCCTGTCCCCCAAACAGTGCACCTCGAACCCAGCTTGTGACAACGATGACCTCTCCAAATCTAATTCTAGGTAAACACCTGCCCTCGAATGTAGACAGAAATAGTATTAGTAAGAAACAAATACTGTATTAGAAACCACTATAGAGATAACAAGCTGATAGGATCAAGAGAAAATAATTCAACATTCCTCTGCATTGCTATTTGACATGCAAGAATAAATCCTATTTCTCAATACATAACATTTCAGGAAACCTTATCTGTCGTTGAAATTATCAGAAAATTAATTTGTCAAAGATATTTAAAATAATCTGACAACGTTGCATTGCTTTCACACTTGACCACTCTAAACCATAATATTAGCACAAGTTATGACTCAAATATGGGCCAGCAACAAAGAACCGAAGAATTCCAGAATAATTCACACTAGGATTGCAAATATTTACTTGTCCCTCTTTGGTTTCAAATCTGAAAAAGGTATGAAATTAAAAGTTCTTCCTTAAAAAAAAAAAAAAAAAAAAAAGTAGTTCTTCCTACTATTTCTGGCATCTCTATGATAAAGATTAGCAGTTCTCAAGTAAAAAATAATTCTATGTATTTTAACCATTACTTGCTGTAAAAAACAAGAACAAAAGCAAAAAGCAGTCTGTCCAAATCACTCCTCTGGGTAGCTCGGCTTTAAAATTCTGTGCCTGTATGTCTTCACTTTTGTAGTATATTTTTTATGATAAGTATTTTACAACAGCAGCCAGGCGCGAGCTCCCGACGGAAGCCGCAGATGGTGCGGATGGCCAGCATGTGGCCATCTCCACTTCCATGGCACACACAAACAGCCTTTAGGACAGCCTTAGGAGAACACTGGTGACACACGGGGAATAAATGCTTCCCTGGCCTTGGTGAGGATCTAGTCTGCACCATGACACAGACTGTATTCTGTATTTCACTGTAGACCCCTGCCTACACGCACAGCAGTTTCCTTAGTGGCTGATTTACAAGTTTAGTGGAAAAAAAAAAACAGTGAAAAAAATAACACTGTGCATGCAACACATGCAATTTTTTACACTACATATTTAGCTAAACAAACCTTATTCTCACCAAAACACAAGCTAGAGCACACATTTTTGAGGTAACAGCATAATATCAATTTCCATACCAAGGTTCAACTTTCAGTATCTGCAGCTGCAGAGCTGTTCAAAGGAATTTGAAATCTTCTTCTTTTTTTTTTTTTTAAATGTGTGAATGCTTTATTTGTTTCATAAGCCAAAAGGGAAAAAAAATCACAAAGTGAAAAAATAAATAGCTTTGTCCAAACTTTTCTAAACGATTTATGATCACACCAATCTGGATAATTTCATCTAGGTATTGTAGAATGAAAACAAGGAAGTTAAAGCAACATAGTTGGGCAGTTTAGAGTTATCCACTAAGTCATCCACTGGTACATTAACTAGTCAGTGCTAGTGCACAAGTCAGTTCTGGATGCACAGTTCATTAGCTGGCACATTCTCAGATATCCAGTCCCACTTCCCTTCTTCAGTCCATGCCCTTCCAAAATATGCTCCCAATGCACCAATTATGAATGTCTGTGAAATTAGGACATCACTGCAATTTACATTTTTTTCCAATTTCTATCCAAGAAACAGAGAAAAAAGTTCAGTTACTTCACCTTGAAGCTAATTTGTCTGGCAAGTTCTTTAGCCTCTTTGTCTGCCTGGCTTGACACGCTTCCTGATGTTAGTGGTAAGAGAGCTGTCTTCATAGACGTGCCACAGATTTCACAACAGAAGTCCTGTGACCTAGCCACAAACAACACAGCTCAGAATGGCATGTTCTTGTACGACTACCACATGCTTGTTTAAGCAAACTATTAGCAGAACAATCCACAGAAAGACAAGTGGTATCAGGGCCAGGATCTTAAAAGTACTTTCCCTCACCTCCAACTAGCAAAAAAAAAAGTCCAAGAAGGATCTATACTACAAAGACATTGTCTCATGTCATTTAGGAAAATACTCATGACATATTTACATATTATTGATATCATCCATCACTATGGACTGAAGGATTTCTTTTTCTTTTTGGAAGTCTCAAGATGATATACTAATAATTCTTTAACATTTAAAAGATTATTTTACATCTGCAGTACATTAAAAATAAATTTTTAGAGAGTTAACTCCATTATGAGTATAAAATTGGATTTAGGAGGTTGTGCTTCATAAATCCAAGAGTTTTCACTTTGAGTCAGAGCATCACTTCACTCTCTTGCACACAACAGTTTGCCTGTAGGGCACACTGCAGGTAGCTCTCCAAGCCAGCCAGAAACCACAGAGCTTTGGCAATGCATATCAAGACAAACCCAGTAAACTCTACCTCTCAGCAGGGCTTACTAGCTTTGACTCGGTGCCATGAAAGTGCTATGAAAGCCATCGCTTCTGATTAGCTCAGAATACAAACCAAACTAGCTCACAGCTGCCTGCAGAAGATGACATCAGTTACAATTTTGATAGAGTAACTTTCTTTGTTGGATATGGATATGATCTTCTCAAGTATCTTCTCACCAATGTCGGGGATAGATGGAGTGGAAAAATGGCCTGAACTGTCATGTAGGAATAACCACAGAATCACAGAAGAGTCGAGGTTGGAAGTGACCTCTGCAGATGATCTAGCACAACTCCTTCTTCAAAGCAGGATCAAGCAAAGCAGCTGCTCAGGTGTGAAGTGTGTACACTTCACACTTTGTGTAGACTCTACAGGAAAAGCATTGCCAGCAGGTCAAGGGATCCTTCCCTTCTCTGCTCATCTGGAGCATTGGGTCCAGTTTTGGGTTCCCCAGTATAGCTCGATAGAGCTACTGGAGCAAGTCCAGTGAAGGGCTACTATGATGACTAAGGGACCAGAGCATCTCTCACATGAGAAAAAGCTGGAAGCAGTGGGACTGTTCAGCCTGGAGAAGAGATTGAGGGGAAAACTATCAATGCGTGTAACTGAAGGGAAGATAAAGAGGATAGGGCCAAGCTCTTCCCAGTGATGCCCAATGACAGGACAAGAGGCAATGGACAAAACACAGAAACACAGAAAGTTCCATCTGCACATACAAAACCTTATTTAAAAAAAAAAAAAAAACACAAGTGTGAGCATTGCAAAGCACTGCAACAGTTTGCCCAGAGAAGTTGTAGAGTCTCCTTTCTTGGAGAGAGAGAGCCATATGGACAAAATCCTAGGCAATCTGATCCAGGTGGACTCCCCTGGCTGACCAGGGGATTGCACTAAATGATCTCCAGAGATCCATTCCAACCTGAACTCTTCTGTTATAGTTATATGTGCAATACATAAATATGCAATACAAGCACTAAAAAATACAACATATGCTAAAAAAATAAGATCCAAAGTTGTCACCTACATTAGCAAATTTAACACTTACTTCTTTGCAAGCGCTCTTCTTTCTTCTGGTGTGTAGTCTAGAGATCCTATGGCTCCTTCACCTTTGGTTGGCATAAATCCAATAATGGCTAGTAGAGCTGTTCTTACTAAAATTGGAAAAATAGATAAAAAAACAAGCTGCAGAGAAAAATTGCTATTTCATCTGATTCTATATTCAGTGTAAAACACTGAAACAGTTTTGCTTACAGAATAAAGAACTATGAACTTCATGAAAGCAGCACTGTTCTTTTGCGACTGGTTTTAGTTTTTAAAAATCTTCATATTATAAGCAAAAGGTAAGTCCTTAATTTTCCATCAGTTAGCACAGGGAAGGGAAGCTAAATTGCCACAAAAATATTATGTCAATGTAAAGATTAGCATATTTGATCAAAATAATGTTCTTAGAATGTAATAAAATCAATCTTTCATGAAGTCTCTTTTTCCTCAATACCATGCTAGCAGTGCCTTGGTATTTCGTTTAGCTCTCCTATATTAGCCAGGATTTGTAATGAGAAGAATAAAACAACATGAAATGGTTTATTAAATCCTTAGCAACCTGGTAAAATCCAGACTTTCAAAACAGTCTCTGAAGAAAGATGCTAAGGCAGAACAACATAAAAATGGGAACTGCGGAAGAGACAGATCTATAAGGCATTCTACATCCATAAAAGAACTGTCAAATAAAACATCTCCTCTATTAACAACATCTATGCTACCATTTTCCTTTATATAAACTAACGAAATTCAAAAAGCCAAGGCACTTTACCAAAAAATTTTGTTAAAAAAAATATTTAATGTCAGGGTCTGCATAATGCAATTTCTACTTATTCTTTTAACACCATAATAATCAAACATTTCTGATAACAGCATCATTAGCTTGCAATTCAATTGGGCCCTGTTCTGTTTTCTTCTTTTAACTTTTAATAAAAATAATTTTAATACGCATTTTAATAGATATTTACTGGAAGTAAGTTAATAGAAAGTTTAACTACTGACATATGCAAAACTATAAGGTTTTGCATAGTCTGGAGAAGAGGCAACTCAGGGGAGACCTTGTCACTCTCTGCAACTAGCCAAAAGGAGGTTGCTGTGAGGCAGGGGTCAGTCTTTTCTCCAGAATAACTGCAGACAGGACAAGAAGAAACGGCCTCAAGTTGCACCAAGGGAGGTTCAGGTTGGATATTAGGAAGAATTCCTATGTGGCAAGAGTGGTGAAGCCTTGGAACAGGCTGCCCAGGAAGTGGTGGAGTCACCATCCCTGGCAGTGTTCAGGAAGGACGTAGGTGAGGCACTTGGGGACACGATTTAGCAGGCAGCGTGGCAATGGGCTTACCGTTGGACTCATTTCTCAGAGACAAGTTTCAGTAACTATAGGGTTTCTTAAATTTCAGGGAGACATGAGAGAAGTTTTTCTAAACGTCAGTGCACTTATCAAGAAAAATATCAGTGAAGGAGTATTGCTTGTGAGATTTTTCATTTTAAAGATCTTCTGCTTTGTGGGGATAGTATTTTCTGAAGAATTGTTACTTACTACTCCATGAAGGCTGCCACGTTTCAGGATGATGCCCCGAGATGCTTAAACAAATTTTCTTCCCCACTTCAAATCTGCCATTGGCCTTTAAAAGAAGGGGGATATAACAAAAGGTGTTTGAAATTAACCCTTGCTTTTTGATGGCAGGTTAAAAAAACAAAAAAAGATAAAATAAAATCAATATCCAAACGATATTTGATAATTACATTAATTAAATTCTTTGATTGATATTCAACCAGGTGGCTTCACTGTTGCTCCTGTAATCCACAAACCACACACAGGGAGCCTGAGAAGCTGTAGCTCTATGAAACTACATAGAAGTACGGACTTTTTCCCCATGACACAGGTCAGCCTTCTTACATGCACCAACGCAGAGGCTGCAGAGGCCCATGGAGGGAAATTGGACCACTGCATTCTCATCAGCTCCGAGTAGTGGTTACTCCTTGGAAAAGTTTCTGTGTACAGGGGCAAAGCTTTATATACCTGCAGAATACCAAAGTAACCTTGGAAGACTTCTCATATTTAATTAGCAGCATTAACTGTACTTAGGCCACCCTTTTCACAAAAATAATTATACTTCACGTGCCAGGAATCTCGCTCTCAGATATCTAAAGCTAAACCAATCACATGAAAAAAAGCCTAACTGGTAAATCTGCTTACCGTCAGCAAAATAATACTCGGTGGTTTCATGGGATACTCCGGAGGCAGTACTATTCTGCCATGGTAAGTTCCTCCATCAAAATCTGAATCTGGAGGGCCTCTCACAGTAAAGTGCCATTCAAAAAGGTTATCCTAAAATGCCCCCCCACAAAAAGAGAAGAGTGTGTCAAAGAAACAGACAACATCAACACTAATCAACACATTCTTGGAACAAGGACAGGCTACAGGATCAAACAGAAAAAAAAGGCTTTGAAAGAAAGAAAAAAAATCAAATTGAAAACAGGACAATCAGCACTGCACTAAGGTTCTGACTAAAAGATAGAAATAATGCATCATCTTATAATCTTCTTACAAAAGCTTTGCTGGAAGATTCAAATCTATCACTCAACTCTTTTACAAGGGTTGTACCAATCATAAGAACTTTATTACCTGAAAGATGGAAAACTAAAGGGTCAGCTAAGGAAAAGTTGGCTCTTTGCCCCAGTGAATAAGAATTTATCCTGAACTGGGAACAGACTCAAATGAGAACACAGACAACAGCCCCCCCTTTCCAAGCCCCTTCTGTGCCCAGTGCAACGCAGGGCTTCAGTGGTAGCCCCAGAGAATTCCCATGTTCTTGTTCCCATGTTTCCCCATGAAGAATTTTGAAAAACACCATCTTGCCTTACTGCATAGTAGGCACATAGTGTTTTTTTTTTTTTTTTTTCTTCTCGAGGACAGAAGGAAACTGTCAACATTTCTAGTCCATCTCTTCATCTGCATCTCCCTGTTCTCTGCCCAGTGAGTCACTGCTCTCATCCTGAGATGATGCAACTACTATTAACTGGTAGCATGAGTTAGGAGTCACATCTCACCTCAGGAAGGGGTGGGTGGGAAGAAAACAAGACAGAGACAAGCTCAATAATAAAGTATACTTATCACACCTAGAAACATGCACTTTGCTTTAAATATGTTGCATGCTATGCCTTTCTCTGAAGAGTTAAATCAGATCCCAAAAGTGAGTACCACAAGGCATTATCTTTTTAGTATGTCAGCAGAATCAGAATATGTTTCACTTTTCTATAATTCCACTACTTTCTCAGTCCAGAACCTTACCTGACTATTCAACAGACTTCAAGAAGCACCTATCTGTGGTGGAAACCAAGTGCTCTTTCTCACAAACCAATGCATCCAGGCCAGACCTGCATTCACTTACATGATATTTTCCTCTTTTTTTCCCCCCACACACAAAATAAGGACCCCATGTAGATCACTTTGTTTTAAGACCTTTTTTGAGCAGCTCAGTAACTTAAACCAGGTATCAGTTTGGGACACATAAAACTCAGGTTAACATAGAGCATACTTATGTAGTCTCAGTCTCAGGTGCAGTGAGAATAAACATGTGAACAAACCCACACAACCAAACTGCTCAGGTACGATATAAAACCGCTATTATTATTACGTACTTCCATTGAGGACCTGGTTCCATAATAGCATTAGATGTGGAATTCTGCCATTGATTTTCAGCACAGGAAAAAGTACCAAAAGAAGGGAATCAATTTTAAGAAGATATACTAGTATTTAAAAACACAACTAAGTTTTTAATACATAGGCACACAGAGAGTGTTATGCAAGCTAACAATAAGCCACTGCAAACATATAGAGAAACAAACCTCCAAAGGTTGTGCATGGTAATGATCTGTAGGATCCTTCAGCTCTGCAGCTTCCTTCATTAAACGTTTGACAGCTGAAAAACAGAAAAATTGGGACAGAAAAATAAAGGAATAAATTAATTCACACTGCATAAAAACAGTAAGCATTTCTTGAAGGGCTCCTTTCAGCTAACTTTTTCAGCACATCACTTCTTCATGAGTTAATAACCCAAGACACAAGATAAATTGCTCACACTGAGTAAATGAGTCACACAATGACAAAGTTATGGAAAATATGTTCCATGGTTACAAGATTTCTGGAAAGAATGACTGAATACTGGGATTTAAACGATGTTAAGATTATTAATTGCACCAAAGGTGTGAGGAAAACCATAAATGCCATTAAAATAGGTACAGCGTTAAAACGTAAGAGGTGCAAGAGGAAAATGAAAATGCTGAAGTTGCCTCCCTAAGATGTTCTAAGTGAATGGGTTGACTTATTCCACCTTCTACATTCAAATTAAAACCAAAATCCTTGTGAAAGTCCCATTCACACAACTGTACAACTACGAAGAAGGAGAAACACTGTCCAAATTCCCTTTCACAACAGCTTAATGGTGATCCTGACAGTGAGACACTCCTCGACTTACAAAGCCTGGCATTACCAGCTGACCATTGCTTACTCACTTCCATAACAGTGTAATATGTTTTTTAAAGTGGTACAGCTGTCATCATGACAGAATAACCGTATTTTCACAGAAACAAACAACAGTTTAAAATAATAAAATTTCCTTAAAATTAAACACTGAGGAAATCAAATTTTCCGGGCTAACTCTACACAGCAAAGAAGAATACTGGCAGAAGAAGATAAGGAAGAGGAAGATCTCTGCACTCTTCTGGGTAAGAAAGGAAAGAAAAGGCTCTAGGGATCAAAAGCTCTGCTTAACAAACTCTTTTAAAAGATTTCTGGAAAAGCAAATGTGCATGTTAAAATACAAGAAACACACCTCAAATTTGAAGATATCAAGTTATTTTGTTCCGTCCAGAAATGCACCTAGGCACCTGCTCATGAACTACGTTAGTTTCCAACAAGAACAACGTGGTTCCTGGTTAAATCCGTTTTCTTGTTCTTAAGTCCAGGTTAAGCTATCCTGCAATTCCTATTCAGTACAACTTCTTCTCTTGGGCCCACCTAGAAGTCATGTTCAAACCTTTCTGCTATTGCACAGTCTATTAGTACAGTCTACACAACACAGACGAGGACAACAGTCTATACACAGAAAATGGAAGCAAACAATCTTCATAAATATAAATAGTACTCCTTAAAGGGGTGACAGGATTTGAGCATTAGTGGTGGTGGTCTTACTATAAACTACACTCTTATCTTCTCTATCATTAAAAAGTCTGTTATTGTGAAAACGAGAATAAAGCTTTTAAAATAAAGCAGTTTTTTTAGTCTTGTAGAAGTTTGTTCTATTAGCGTGAAGACATTGTAGCTCATTTTTATCTGTAAACTGTACACATGGCAATGGAACAAGCTGACAAGAGTTCCTGGAATTATACTAATGCAAACATCTGTGTGGTGACACAACAGAATTTGTTTCAGTGTAACAAGGTGGTTATAGGTGCCCTGGGAAAGCAGGAACCCAGACCTCAACCTTCTAAAGGTCTGTAAAGTATCTGCAACAAAGCACCAGCAGCCAGGCACAAGAACTGAGCACAAAACCAGATCTGGCGAGGGGAGAGGAAGGCCGAGGGGGGATGGCAGCGGGGTCAAGCTGAAGCTACAAGGCACGGGGATGGTCTGGGCTCAGGTCAGCCAGGCCTAACCCCTGCACGAAGCAAGAAATCCCTGAAGGCGATCACGGAGGAAGCTAGTCTCAGCGCAGCGACACGCTGTGGCAGCGGCTTCCCCAGAGCACAACGACGAGTTCATTCTGTCCATTTTCAGCTCTTCTCTTTGAAAAAAGATAATAAAAAATAGCAAACAAAGGATTTCAAAATAGCTGATACACACCTAAAGATCGTTCAATCTTTCAAGTTAAGTGATATAGAAAAGAATAAAAGGAACTGACACCTTCTAGTACTGCAACAAATACTTGCCTTTTTTTTCTGACTGCTATAAACAAAATGTCTCCATTTCAAACACTATTTAGACTTTTGCTTAGAAGAAAAATAAAGAAGTAGTCATTTTTCTCGTGATCTGTTGACTATGATAGCATAGCTGAAGATCCGGTCTACTTTAAATCTGTCCAGGTTTTCCAATTAAATTAATATAGCCTTTATATATGAACACCCTCCAGCCCGGAGGATTTTTAGCTACTTAGCCCAGTCAATATATAAGTAAAATATAGGTCCATCTTCATTACCTGCTTGCCTAAGGAGGATTTTTAGCTACTTAGCCCAGTAGTAAAATAGTAAAATAAGTAAAATAAAGGTCCATCTTCATTACCTGCTTGCCTATCAATGATACCATGTACAAGCAGAAAAGTAAAAAGACACCAGCTTTCACTGAAACTGCGCAATAAATCCCAGATAAGAGCCATAACTCTTACATTGATTATAAGTTAATTTAACGGCTGACATTTTGGGAAAGTCCTTTTAAAGTCAGCTGTGACCGAGTAGGTTTTTGTGGTTTTGTTTTGTTTTGTTTTTTTTGTTTTGTTTTTTTTCTCCTCTCCACCCACTACCTGGCTGCGGAGCCAGCAACGCCTGGTGCTCTGGCCAGCGTAACCACCAAGGGTATTTGGAGCCCCAAGGAAATGGTGCCACGTGCTGAGCCCCAGCAGCACCCACCTCCTACGCACCTCCGAACCCACTTGGGACCTGCATTCCAAAGAAAGAGCAGGTTATTAAATGCAGGGTGAAATTCATAGGAAAGCCACTCCATCTTTTAATTGTACAGAGACCGAATCACACTTAAAAAAAAAAAATCAGGATTAAATCCGTGTTTAAAATACATATGATTTCTCATAAGACAACAACACTCAATGAGCTTCAATATCTAAAAATAAAACTAAGTGATGAGGTCACCAAACATGCAAGTAAGAAAAAAATAATTAGAGAATTAGAGTGAAGAGTCTTATCAGACTGGATATTTATGCAATACTTTTACTACAGCTCTTTGATATGGAGAATTGTGCCTCGCACCCAGGTGCTGTGCTCCCTTGAGAAGCCTTTAATAAAGCTAAACATAGAGAGGCACTAAGAGGTTTGCTGTGACCTGCACAGTGTCCCTATCTGTGTGTCACCTACAGATGGGATTTCCCACGCGAGCTTGAAATCGTGAATGATACGTCAGCACTAGTGACTGCAACAGAGACAGGAAAGTACTATGAAATGTTGTAATCCTTTTGTAGGATACAGTATTAAATAGTAAACCCTCTAGAAGTAAAATTAAGTAACCAGACTTTTATTTAAGTGAGCTCTACTTTACTAATCCCTTTGTCCTTCCCTTTGCTTTCTTTGTATTTGTTTTTCCACCATTTACCTTTACCTTTGGAGTTCACCTCTGACTTCAACTTGATACATCAAGTTCCTTCCTATATGCTTGCACATTATTTCACAGAAACGTAACTACATTCTCAGAAAATAAATCTTTCCATCACTTATTCAGGCAGCTAAAATTTGCACAGCAGTTTATAGTCACTTCTTAATTTTGAGTGACTACATTTAAATGAAGAGATGATGTTTAAAGTTTCATTAGAATGAGAGTCACCATTTTCTTTGCAAAAAAAAAAACACTGTGCTGATCACATCCACCTAAAATATGAAAAGTTAAGCTAATCATTCAACCACTGACCAGGAGGATACATTAGATATTCTGTTTTTATGCTCTTTTCCTAAGCATCCCCTATGCTTCTGTTCATGACAGAATAGCGGACTGCAGTTCTGAAAAGCTCAGCCAGAGAAGCAAAAGGAACACACTGAAATCAGACCAAAGTCCACTTATACACAAAGATTTCCAAATTTTTAGTGTTCTGAAACTAGAAGGCCAGCAGGGAAAATCACCCACAAGGTTCTTCGAACGTGTCCATGCTCAGATGGCTGGTAACACCCAGCTCAGGGTGAGACTGATGAATCCTGTTATTACAGAACCATGACTACAAGATTGGGTGTCTGATCCTGCAGCAGCCTAAGGGGCACAGCACTTGGAAAGAAAGAAAAGAGACTATTCCAAGTATAAATTTCAGAAATGAGGATGTTCCTGAAGCATGAAGAGGATGAAGCTTTAGTCAGCAGAGCTTTAATATTGACAGAAGAGGTTTATCAGCCATATGGTAGCCGGCTGGTACACACTGACTAATCCATTTTGAAATCCTAAGAGAAAATACCTTGCCCTTTTAGAAGCACCAAAAATAGAAATTAAAACATGAAGTAACAGCTTGAAAGGCTTTGATTCATAGAGGCAATAACAAAAAAAAAGTCTGAAGTGCATAGTGTGAAATTTCTTTCCTTACAAAGATTATTATTTCTTCCCAAAAGACCTTTTTAAAAAAATAAGCATATTCACAGACTGTTTGAGGAGATATCTATAGGTGAGGGCCCCTATAGCCCTTGCTCTTTTAGAGCGTGACAGATGTGAATAGCAGCTTTGCCCACAACCGACTCCATCCCAGAGCCTCCATGACGTTTAACTACGTGTAGCTTCATCAAAGCATTTTGTGCCATGCACGTTTACTGCCTTTTAAATATGCCAGGCTGAACACTTACAAGGCAACACTGTTACCGTGACTCAGAGCACCCGTGACCAGGAGAACAAATGCTCCTGACTAGCAGCAGTGAGTGACAGGACAGATCTGTGCAGCAATATTGCTGCAAACATGATCTGTTCAATGGCAGGGAAGAAACGAAGGCGCTAGAAAGGCTGCATGAGCCTCATTCATGAATCCAGCACCTCCATACGAGGTCGGGATTCATGGAGCCGCAAGACAGGGGCACTCCAGCATGTGTCACAGCTTCAGGGGGGAACTGGGCTTAGGATGGAGAGCAGCTAGAAATCCATGTTTCTTTTAGCAAAAATTTCTTCTAGGCTATTTTCAACAAAGTCTGAAGGTACTATAACCAGGAAAAAAAGCACTGAAAATAATAA